AAATTAATAATCAGAATATATAAAGAACTGCACTCAATAATTTTAAAAATTTTCATTTTTAAAAATTCAGATAATGCTCAGGCTCAACTTTTTAGTAGGAATGTTGGTTTGTTAGGTTTGGCCAACTTTTCTTCATTCACCTTAAAGTTCAAACACGAAACAATGAGGAACGCAGACTTTTCTTAAAACTATAAATATTGAGAGTGATAATTTGAATCATATGGCCCACAAAAATAGTGCTTCACAAATCACACTCAGCTTAACTGTTGGTTACTGTGACTATGCCCAAGGCTGGAATATTTCACTCGGCTTTTGGCTGCAGATTATACTTCTGTGGCTGGAAAAAATGTACTTCGATAGCATTGACTAGTTCATTCAGTTCCTTCTTCAGCTGCTCAGGATCACTGGAAAATGGGGAGAAAAAATCCAGATTAAGAGATTATTCCAAAGCACATTTTAAATGATCCCCCCGTTGAACGAGTGACACTGAAATTTAACCTTAAGGGGAGGACTAAATCATAAAAAACAGAACTCCAGTGACTTATGCTTGGGAACACATCTGTTGACTTAGACAAAATCCCTCTTGAGACAATATGCATTATTTTCCCCAAAGGTTTTTTCCCAAGTTCTCAACTATAAACAAAATTATCCCTTACTCTTCTCATGACAATTTTTATGAAACATAATTTTTGGCCTAGCATCTCTAAAAGATCTGCAAATTTTGTACCTGATAGTGCAGAGAAAACTTTCCTAACCTCAGTTGCCATTAAATCCTGCTAAACTTTTACAAATGATATTTGTGTTAAGTCTTCGGTCTCCTAGAACAGGGGTGCCCAACCTATGGTGAGTTGTATAATTATTTTGTTATATATTACAATGTAATAATAACAGAAATAAAGTGCACAATAAAGGAATACACTTGAATCATCCTCAAACCACCCTCCCCACCCCCCAGTCGGTGGAAAAACCATCTTCCATGAAAACGGTCCCTGGTGCCAAAAAGGTTGGGGACCGCTGCCCTAGAGTATGGATGCTCCTGATGCTGTCTGTCCTCAAACTACTGGCGGCTAAACTGCAGCCCTGTCTGTAAGGCCTGCCTAGGATGGCCAGACATGGGGAGTTTCCAGGCGGGTCTGGAGGGTCAAACACAGGAAATCAAATCTCCTCCCACCCCCTTAAGTTTTATCATTATGAAACTATTTCCAGAACAAGAGTCACAACTAAAGTACATAAAAGAATCTAGGGAGATAGATCCCTCTAAGAAAATCAAGTTTTCAAGGATGTGGGAAACACTCATTTATATGTAAACACGAGTAACTGGAAGGTGAATAATGTATAAAACTGACTCCCAGTTAAAGAGGCATCCAGCAGCTTATGTAGCCTAGTGTGAGTTACTATAATTACTCAACACTGAAAAGCTGAATTTAAAAAACTAAATCCTTCATACTTTCCATCACTTCATACTCTACTATCTTTAATATATGCAAAGTTTATTTTAATGGAAGTGGCAATTCCTATAATTAGTTAAGATCATTTTTACATTGTTATAGCTAAACAGTACAACTAAACAATCCATTTTATTCCAGACATGAATTCTGGTTCTACTACTTACTAGCTGTGTGCCCTTAGGCAAACGGATTAGCCTCTCTAGGGCCCAGATTCCTCATTTGTAAAATTGGGATAAAGACTTTACCATCTCAAGAGAGATGATGTACAGATTGAGATAAATCATAGAAAGCAATTAGCACAGAACCTGGCCCAAAGACCTCAATAAATATAGCTGTCAATATAACTATTTCCATCCCTATTGGCAACATATAAAATAATTATGCTTCATAAATATATATGAATTACACCAGTCTTTTTTTCCTTTTCCATAAACACGCTCTGAAGAAAACAACAGCTCTCAGGAAGGCATGTAAGCTAATAATTATTTTTTAAAAATATATACTTAAAACTAAAATTCAGTGAATTTACTTATTTTTCAAATTTGGTTTTTATCATGACATGTATGTATACTATGATTCATTTATATATTGATATGTTTCTGATACTACATTTCTTATGTGTAAAAAAACAAATCAGTACTACTGTATAAGATTTAAGGGTATGATAATACCTAAAAACAAATTTTTTTTTTTTTTTATTTCAGGGTATTGTGAGGGTACAAACATTATGGTTACACTTTATGTCTTTGCCTCACCCAAGTACAGGTTAAAGGCATGCCCTTCCCCCCTACAGTGCTCCCCATGTCCTTTAGTTGCAGGTGTACCCCCCATCCCCCTAATCCCTGGAGAGTATTTCTGCCATGTGATCACCCTAGTGTTGATCAGTTAGTACCAATTTGATGGCGAGTACAAGTGGAGCCCATTCTTCCGCTCTTGTGGTGTCTCACTTTGGATAATGGGCTTAAGTTTAATCCAGGAAAGTATAAGAGGCCTAAAACCAAAATTTTGTCTTACTAGTCTGCATCCTAATTGATAACTGTTTCATTTCTTAAAGTTTGAGAATATTTCATAACATTTTAAAACACAAGACACAGCCTATGACAATTTAAACTAGGGTTAGGAATCTCTGTTTCTGAAAAGTCTAAATCCAGGTAGATCTCTTTATAGAAACGAATAGCAAAGTATCACATATAATAAGGCACTTATTTTTCTCTAAACCATCATGAAAAATCACTTAAGCTAAATAAAAGCTAAATGCAATGCAGTGTTCTCGATTTGATTATGGATTGGGAGAAAAAGCTATTTTGGGGACTTTGGGGCAAGTTCGAATCTATGTGGCAATTTGGCTAGGCTATAGTCCCCAATTAGTCAAACACTAATTTTGATGTTAGTGTAAAGGTATTTTGCAGATGCTGTTAATGTCTATAATCAGTTGACTTTAAGGGAAGGAGATTATTCTAGACAATCTGGACGGGCTGGATTCTAGCTGACAGGCATTAGGGGCAGAACTGAGGTTTTCCTGAAGAATTCCACCTGTAGACTACATCCCAACCCACACCTGAGAATTCCAGGCTGCCTGGAATTCCTGGACAGCTGCCCTGTGGAATTTAGATTTGCTGAGCCAGTCCCTACAATCAATTGTGCAGGCCAATTTCTCACAATACATCTCTTAATAAATACATCCCATTGGTTCTGTTGGTCTGTTGGAACCCCACCTGATACAATTATCCAATAGCATTAAGATATTAAAAGAGTGTCTTTGTTTGTAGGAGATGAATATTGAAATGTTAGGAGTGAAGTATCATGAGGTCTTTCAAATTGTTCAGGAAAAAAACTCACACATAATATATATGGTGAGAGAGAGAGCAAATATCACAAAATCTTAGCCATTTCTGAGTCTGGGTCAACAAACTATGGCACATGTAAACAAAGTTTTCTTGGAACACAGCCATGCCCATACTTCCTGTATCTGGCTGCTTTCTTACTACAACAGCAGAGCTGAGTGGTGGCGACAGAGACCATCTGGTCTGCAAACCCTAAGATACTTACCGTTGGCTCTTTACAGAAAAAGTTTGCTAACCCCTGGTCTAAGTGAAGGGTGTGGGATATTCACTGCATTATTATTTCAACATTTCTGTAGGCCTGAAATTTTTCAAAATAAAAAACTGGATAGTTTTCTTGGTTTTTTTGTTTGTTTGTTTGTTGTTGTTGTTGAGACAGAGTCTCACTCTGTCGCCCTGGGTAGAGTGCCGTGGTGTCAGCCTAGCTCACTGAAACTTCCAACTCCTGGGCTTGAGCGATCCTCCTGCCTCAGCACCCCCCTGAGCAGCCGGGATTACAGGTGTGTCCCAAAATACCCAGCTGATTTTTTTCTTTTAGGCAGAGATGGGATCTCACTCTTGCTCAGGCTGGTTTCAAACTCCTGGCCTCAAGCGATCCTCCCACCTCGGCCTCCCAGAGTGCTAGAATTACAGGTGTCAGTCACTGCGCCTAGCCTAAAAAACTGGACAAAACTAAAGATATCTCTCTTCCAACAAAAATATTTTTTTAAAAGCAACACTTGTATACTAGTATATTGGGAGACTGCAAATTAGTAAAATCTCTATGGAAAACAGTATGGAAATTCCTCAAAGAACTAAAAGTTGACCTACCATTTGATCCAGCAATCCCACACTACTGGGTATCTACCCAAAAGAAAAGAAGTCATTTTATCAAAAAGACATCTGTACTCGAATGTTTATAGCAGCACAATTCACAATTGCAAAGATGTGGAAACAACCCACATGCCCATCAATACATGAGTGGATTAACAAAATACGGTATATGTATACCATGGAGTTCTACTCAGCTATGAATAAGGATGACTTAATGACTTCTAAAACAATTTGGATGGAACCAGAGACTATTAACCTAAGTGAAGTATCTAAAGAATGGAAAAACAAACACCATGTATACTCATTATTAAATTGGAACTAACTGATGAGCACACATGTGTACAGAGGGAAGTAAATCACAATGGAAATCAAGCAGGGGCGAGGGGGAAGAGGGGATGCACGAAAACCTACCTAACAGGTACAGTGAACACTCTCTGGGTGGCAGGCACCCTTTTAACCCTGACTCAAGCATTACCAAAGTGATCCATGTAACCAAAAACATCTGTACCCCGTAATACTTTGAAATAAAAAAAAAAAAAGACAAAAGACATTTAAAAAAAAAAAGCAACACTTATACTTGAAAAGGATTTTCCATTTTAAATGATTAGTAGGCCATGGAATTCTATGAATAAATGAAATCCATAATATAATATATATTAAGAATATTTAACCTCATTAGAAAAGAAGGAAGTCTCAGTTATGACTTTATTGCTACTTTATGTCAGGTACGCTGGTGCCTGGCTTGAGAAGCCGGACGGCACACCTATCAACCAACACAGTGCCTGACACCCCATCTGCAATCATGAATGGGAACAGCATTTCAACGAATATAATAAAAACACAATGTTTCAAAGTTTTTTCAGCAATTTATAAAATAATATTTGAATTTAAGTACCCTTAATGAGCCAAGTGAAAAATTTAAATACCGTAGAGCCTTAAATATTAAATAGTGTTATTATTATAAAGGAAAATTTTCTGAAATGTTTGATATATTTTCACAGGATAATAAAAAGGAAAGGACAAAGATACAGATAAAATAGATCCTTAAGTTGGACTAACATGCATTTGTTTTTAAAAAAATGAAACAGAAATATGTGAAAGTGAGAATGAGAAATTCTCACTTAATTTCTCATGAGAAATTAAGTGAAAATGAGAATTACAAAGAAATGTCTGTGGAAAACCATATTCAATATAGTAGCAAATACCATATTATTTAATGCACATAGAAATATGATACTTGCATAGTATTCCAATAAAATTCTGGATTCTTAGAAAACGAGCTGTTTTACATGTTTACTTAGTAGCTGAGTTTTTTTGCCCCGTAAGCACAAAAAGGTTTTGGTTTTTTTTTTTTTTTTTTGAGACAGCGTCTCACTCTGTTGCCTGGGCTAGAGTGCCATGGCGTCAGCCTAGCTCACAGCAACCTCAAACTCCTGGCGTCAAGCAATCCTTCTGCCTCAGCCTCCCAGACAGCTGGGACTACAGGCACACAACCACCATGCCCAGCTAATTTTTTCTATATATTTTTAGTTGTCTGATTAATTTCTTTCTAATTTCAGTAGAGACGGGATCTCGCTCTTGCTCAGGCTGGTCTCGAACTCCTGACCTTGAGCGATCCACAGCCTCGGCCTCCCAGAGTGCTAGGATTACAGGCGTGAGCCACCACACCCAGCCCACAAAAAGGTTTTGAATGGGAATCCATAGCAAAATATTTAATATATTACATAGTCCCATGACTTCTTAAATATATTTTTATTGAACATCTTGATGTTTGAGAGCCACAATCATGACTTTGACTATTAGACTGGAGCTATCATTCAGAAGAAAAGATTCAGGGCACATTTGGGTGTGGAACGCTATTTCCCTTATGATAAACTCCCGGAGTGGTGACCTTTCTAAGTGCTATGTACATGCGATATAGATTTGTTTTGCTTTAGCATTTCCTTCTTTGCTATCAGCAGTCACTTCTCCTTCCTGAGGAAAGTCTAACTGTAACAATTCTTTCCCCATTCCCTTCATTTGCTGCATTTAATCTGCTACTAATCTGGCAATTCCTCTGCTTTTATTCCCACACATTGCAAATTTGATTCACAAGTCTGGAAAAACTTTTCTTTTTTTCATTTAGAAAAGAATTTTTTTAGAGATGGGGTCTCACTCTGTCGCCCAGGCTGGAGTGCAGTGGTGTGATCATAGCTCACTGCAACCTCCAATTCCTGGACTCAGGTAATCCTCCCACCTCAGCCTTCCAAGTAGCTGGGTCTACAGGTGGCCACCATGCCCAGCTAATTTTTTAAATTATTTTTTTGTAGAGACAGGGTTTTGCTATATTGCCCAGGCTGGTCTCAAACTCCTGGGCTCAAGAGATTTTCCCACCTTGCCATGGAAAGTCCTGGGATTATGGGCATGGGCCACTGTGCCCGCCCTGGAAAAACTTTTCTATGAGCATGTGCTGTCTGCTACAGCAATGATTAGCCACATGTCTACTGGACACTTGAAATGTGCTGGCTAGTGCCACCCAGATACTGAATTTTTAATTTTTTCAACTTCAGTTAATTAAAATTTAAAAACGGACACTTGATTCAGTTATTGGAAAACTTAAGTATGTTTGCAACAACTTGGGTATCAAAACTTATTTTTTCTACTCAAAATTTTCTGAAATCTAAATACAGATCAAGTATTTCTAATAAAAGTTTAGCATTCAAATTGAGATATGCTGTAAGTGTAAAATACTGAACGGATTTTGGGGACTTAGAAGTCTTTTCTTCTGTGGAAAAAAAGAATGTAAAACATCTCACTAATAATTTTTGACATGGATTACATGTTGTAATGATAATATTTTAGATAAACTTGGTTAAATAAAATATATTATTGAAATTAATTTCACCTGTTTCTTTTCACTCTTAAAAATGTGACAAGTAGAAAATCTAAAATTGCATCTGTGGCTTGCATTTTATTTCTCTTGGACAACGCTGCCTTAATTCATCTTTAAAAAATTTTTTTCCTGATTTACAACTGTATTCTGAACAGGGAAGTACAGGTTAACTGAGCATTAGATGGGGCCGGATGAGCGTGCAGTATCACACTCACACGTGCTATGTACATGCACTGCGCGTGTGAAAGCTCAAAATGGTAAGGTTTTTGGACGGCGACCAACTCAGACTCTTCACCAAGGTCACAGAAACACGACCCCGAGGCTATTAATACCAGTTTTCTTCATGATGAGGTTCCTTACTCTCCCTGTGCCCTCGAACAAGCCTATATACAAGGGGTGCTCAAAGATATTTGCTGAACGTATATGGAATGGATTTTAATTTACTTTATCAGTCACATGGAAAGACTGCAGTTCGAGAAAAAGAGAAAAACTCACTGATGCTAGCCTCCAACGAAAAGTACTTAGAAAAAGGAAGTTCTATTACTATTACTGAAATTAGGGATGAAATTTTCCCATACAAAGAAAGTTAGGACAGAAGTAATTAAGGAAGAAGTAAGCACTCTCATCCTTGGAGGCTTATAGCAGCTGTTTTTTTTTTTTTGAAACAGAGTCTCACTGTGTTGCCCGGGCTAGAGTGCCGTGGCGTCTGCCCAGCTCACAGCAACCTCAAACTCCTGGGCTCAAGCGATCCTCCTGCCTCAGCCTCCCGAGTAGCTGGGACTACAGGCACGCGCCACCATGCCCGGCTAATTTTTTCTATGTATTTTTAACTGTCCAATTAATTTCTTTCTATTTTTGGTAGAGACGGGGTCTCGCTCTTGCTCAGGCTGGTCTCGAACTCCTGAGCTCAAACAATCCGCCCGCCTCGGCCTCCCAGAGAGCTAGGATTACAGGCGTGAGCCACCGCGCCCAGCCCTATAGCAGCTGTTAATGTCACAATATTGCTGCAGGTTCTGAAACAGTGTTTCTAACTAAACTACATAGTGGAAAGAGGAGACATTTTACTTAGCATGTGAATAACCAGTTAGAAGTTTGAGGAATAAAAATCCCACCAGCTGCCATCCACATCATACCTCTTTCCAGGAGGGGCACACAGCTCTGCATAGTATTTGATCTTGGGCTCTGTCCCGCTGGTCCGCATGGTGGCCACGCCTCCATTAACAAAGGTAAAGGTGATCATTTGGCTGCTTTTACTAGTAGGAAGAACCTAGGAATTAATTTACACATATTATATATCTAAATAGTAACATATACTCTTCTGGCCTAACTAACATTTTCCCCTGCATAAACAAGAAAATAAATGCCAAACAAATATATTGGTTAGGAAAGAACATTTTTGAGGAAATCAGAAAATGTACCCCATACAAGTGAAATACTAAATGAGACTGATAATTTATGAAAATGTGGTATATATACACAATGAAATACTATTCGGCCTAAAAAAGTAGGGAAATCCTGTCATTTGTGACAACAGAGACGAACTTGGAGAACATTATGCTGGGTGAACTAAGCCAGGCACAGAAAGACAAATACCACACGATCTCGCTCATATGTGGAATCGAAAAAAGTTGAACCCTTAGAAGCAGAGACAGAATGGTGCTCACCAGGGGCTGGTGGAGGAGGAGGGGAGGGGGAGCTGGAGAGATGTTGGGGACAAAGTTTTGGTTAGATAAGTTAGGAGGAATAAGTTCAAGGGATCTCTTGTACAACGTGGTGACTACAGTTAATAACAATGTATTGGATACTTAAATATTGCTGGGAGCGCAGATTCTAAGTGCTCTCACACAAATAAATGAAAAGTACGTGAGGTGATGCATATATGAATTACCTTGAGTGAACGATCACTATGCATACATATTTACATATACATAAACAGAGACAATTTTTACTTGTCAATTAACATAACCAAATCAATTAATTAAAAAAAGAGGCTGAGCGCGGTGGCTCACGCCTGTAATCCTAGCTCTCTGGGAGGCCGAGACGGGCGGATTGTTTGAGCTCAGGAGTTC